AAGATGGCTCCTGGCTCCTTTAACCGGCAGCCGCTGCCCTGCTACCTTCAGACCTCGTGCACTGTTAGCAAACAAGCGCTGATCTTTAATGCAGTTATTTTACCATCTCTTGGAAGGCCAGTAATTGTGTTACAGCCATGACTGCATGCCCAGAAGGGAGCATTTTCATCATCTAAAGTCCGATTTTCCAGGTAACACAGGCCAGAGATTCCACTCTCACAAAACTTAATATTACCCCAGCTGAACGGAGCACGACCTCTAAAAGCTTCCTTGCCTGAATTTACAAACCCTCTGCCTCACCAGCACAGAATGGGTTTCCTCTTGTGGTCCATCAACCAGCCTGAACAAAGAAACGCAGTCAAACCTTTGAGTTGTGGGTCCGTTAAAATCAGCAGAGCCCAAGACGCTCATTCCCACCAACGTCTCGTGTGGCCAAGGTCTCCTGCCACGTTTGCAGGGCTGCAACTAGGGGATGGCTCGGGTTTTGGTGGCTCACCTGGCAAAACCTCGCAGATGTCATCCTCTTCTATCTCAATGTTTGGCTCATCCTGATTCAGAGTAGTATTGTGGGATGGTGTCTTCACAGAGTCAGAACTGTCCACGTCATTGTAGAGCTCTTCTTCATCCTCCTCATCATAAGGGATAGTGAGGGAGCTCAGGTCTGGCAGAGGATAGCAAAAGCATGGTGAGAAAGAGCAAACCAAAGTGCCAGCTGGACACTGGCACTTGTGGTGAGTTGAAATCAAGTAACGAAGCCTACGCCACTGTACTTTGTGCTCACTACAGATCTTGCAAGGAGTGAACTGTCTCCTTGCTTGGCCCACAAGCATCTGGTGTAAAGAAAACAGCATGGAAGCGGAGAACAGGCTAAAAAAAAGGAAAAGCCCCAGAAAGGATGGCAAATGCCAGAGAACAAAGCCAAATTCAACAAGTGCCTCAAGGAACTCAGCCTGACACCCCTTCTGGGCAGCTGCCTATGGTTTCCAGAGGATTTCCACACGCATGGCTGGAGTCTTTTCTCTGTATTTCTGGGCTCAAACTGGAGCAAATCCAGAGGAGCCAAACCTCATCCTTCATCAGGCAAGGACAGAGCAGCGGATCTGCAACCCCAGCAGTGAGGAGCCATTCCCACCCTTTTCTTGTCCCACTTGGTGACACTTGCAGCTTTTGAGAGATCACACAACTAAAAGCAGCCAAAAGGTCTCGAATTGCAAGGAAACGCCCGTGGGCTCCAACCAGTCACCTCTTTTTAACCACCTGCTCGAAAGAGTACAGCCCCAGAACCTCTCTTTTCGCTACGGGGGAACGTTGGGACCCCAGCCAGGTCTCAGCAATAAGCACAAGCCCACGCTTTGCTGGAGGGAGCAGCCCAAGCTGGGTGGGAAGATGCTGCCAGGATCTGCCCAAATGAGCAGGGCATGCTGGCTTGGCCCAGGCTGCTGGACTCACCCTTCAGGAGGAACTGGATCTGATCCACCCAGTCTTCAGCCTCCTCTGGGCTTGGGGCTGTGAACTGGAGAGAGGTTTCCCTGTTATTGTGCTGGTTCTTGTGTGTAGGAAGAGGAGAAAGATTAGCACCTAGAATAGGGGACGGAGATCCTGGATCCACCATTTTCTACCCTGTGACTCTGGGAAAGCCATTTCACTTCTTTTATCTCCCTGTTCCAAACAGGGAAACAGAAGCGGAACAAAGCTAGACTGTCCCAGAGGAAGGCTGTCAAACCTAATTCATTAAAATAATTCAGATGAAAACCACAGTCCCCACTGAACATACTATACTGACTCTGAACCAAGACTCTACATCCAAAATCTCCCTGAAGCTCAGGAAGGCCCTCACGCGCACTTTGTGGATTGGGCCAGGTTTTTCATTACACCCGTTTTTAGGCTCCCCCTTGGATGCTCAACAAATTGAAGGTTTAAATTTAACCTAGCTCTGAACTGCTTATTTAAAAATAGGCTTTCCAAACCCAATCCTCTACTGCTTCTCCCCCATGTTCTCACTTAACCCTTGTGCCGCACAAGTGGCAAAAGAGCCCGGGATCACTCTAGTGCCAAGGGAAGATCCATGCTGAAATACCCTGCCAAGAAGGAGAAGCATCGGCACCTTCTGCGCTGCTGCTTGGTTTGTTTTGCCAGGGCGGGTTGGAGATTTGCACCCTCCCTGACCCCGCAGGTCCAGCCTGCACCCCAGGCCTGGGAGTGTGTGTTTTTGTGCCTAGTGCTCGAACCAGCACAGAAGGTCCATTTCACCCCCCCGAGTTCCTACCTCGTAGGTGCGTTTGCCAGGGCAGATTAGCTCGAAACAGCATCTTTTTCGAGAGTCTTTGCGGAGGTGGAAAGCCAGCCGGGCACTATAGTGCTCGATGGAGAGGGTGCCTTTGGGTTGCTTGCCTGGAAGAAGAGAAACATGCTCAAGCTGGAGTTTGGATCTTTTTATCAAGCTCGCCATCCTGCTGGGTGGTGCAGATGTCTGTGGCCCACGTAGGGAAACCGAGGTACACCACGTGTCAATGGGAAATGGCCAGAAAATCCTCTTCAGTCTAAGCATGCCCACCCCCAGGAAATCCAAAGGGATCATTACAACATCTTCATAAAGACGCAGTAAAGAGGATGCCCTTTTAAGCCTCCAGAGACTGCAAGCAGCCAGGGCAAGGTTGCCGGGGTCAGAAGGTTGCATGAGATGAGCTGGCTGTAATGAAGCAGAGACCACTGCGTACTTGGGGAAATATGATACCAATGATTATTCTGCTGGTAAGGCATTAACGGGCTGGCGTACAGGAAGAAATACTTAGTGGGGCCTTTGAGAATTGGCCTACGGATCTTGCCGATGCACACACGCGGCTGGTGTCAGCCGGGGTGGAGAGAGGGAACTTCACTGCAGTCATCTGAGGCGTCTTTATTTACCCCAGCTCATTATTTCCTTATGAATCTTCTTGCAGAAGCATGGGAGTACGATTCAGGCAGTTGCTCTGAACCTTTTTTTGATTTGCAGATCCTCAGGAAACTTCCAGGCGTGAGGTCAAACCCTGTATGAGGATTTCAGCCAGTCGATAACAGGTTTGCTTTACTCTGCTGTCTGCTGGGGACCATTTGGAAGATGACAACTGCTCATCCCCCACAGAAACAACCAAATATCAACCCTTGGCTTCAACACCTGCCTCTGCTCACAGCTCATACCCCCGCAGCTACCCTGCTAAGGTGAGAGGAACTGGGAAGCTTCCCAAAAGCGCTCCAGATCCTCAGACAAAGGATGTGGAAGAAGGACCATGATCTAGCTTCATCCCCACGACCCACCGGGGCTTAATCCTGTCCTAGCTGCAGACCTGGTAGTTGTAAACCGAGGACGTACTGGTGTATTTTGTAAGCTGTTAGCACGCCGTGTTTCTGGATGGGTGGAACAGAGGAAGGCCGTATATCTAATCATGCCAAACTCTGTTGGAGATATTAGCTGTCTGTTTATATGTACCTGATGGAGCATGACTGCAAAATATTTATGTATGCTACACATGGATTATGTACAGTCACTTAGGGGGTTGAAGCCCAGCTGATGGCTAATGGAAAACTTGGTACATCATTTTATTTACGCACAGCTCTGTTCCTGTGTCTCTCTTCTCTTGTTTCGTACCTACAAAGGCATTTGGGAGAGAGGAAAAGGAAAAAAGCAAGCTGAGATCTACCCTTCTAGAACCTGCATGTTGTGCCTTGATAGGGAATTACAGCCTTCCCATGGTGTACGCTTTCCTCCTGGCCTTCGGCAAGGGCTCTCCCCTTCTCTTTTCCAGTCCTATCCGTGCCCTCAGCCACCACCCACAGTCTGGGGACTGGAGGCAGGTATCTCACGACTTACTTTTCTCATTGGCGTAGTAGTAAAAGGTCCTTCTGTTGAGGACACACCAGCGCTTCTGCCACTCTGACCCAAAAAAGCTGTGCTCTAGAAAGAAAAGGACAACAAAATATTAAAAAATAATTAATTTCTGTTCTTTCATTGTATGCTTCAGATCAACATTTAGGGGACAGAAGAATTTTTTCCCCCAACAAAATCCTTAAGATTTCTAGCACAAAATTCAGGCAAGAAAATTTAGATAAAAAACCTCCGTGAAGTAAGGGAGAAGCAGCCCATCCTACCAGGCTGGAGCCCCCACAGGCCTTCCCCAGCTCTCCAGGGAAAGCTGAGCTGAGCTGCTGTGACCCATAGTCCTGTTAACCGGGAGGGAACACAGCTTTGGGTTAAACCTCCCCTAATTGAGGTTTAAGCAAATGTCTTTTACTCTGTAATTGGAGCAAGCTGAAACATGCACAGGGCCAGTTCCACAGCTCAGTTAATGGCCGTGAGGAAGAAAGGGCTGTTCTTGCCTCATACCACCTGTCATACAGTAAATAAATCAAGATAAAATCTGAGTGATGAGGAAATAATTTGTAGCTTTCACAAGAGTCAGTAAAATCAAGATAAACCTGAGGCTGACTCACAGTCCTTATCTCAACTTGCTAATGTGTGTGATGATACGAAATACCTTGTCTTCACCAGGATTTTATCCTCATTAGGTATTGCTCGTTAGAAGGGCACATGTTGCCTTAGAGGACTGGACTGCTGCTTAATTCGATTTCTGGGTTTTAATCTTTGTGCAGTTTGATCATGGGCAAAAAAAAATAAATAAAGGCTGTGCCCTCCCTGGGTGTATGATGCCTAAGACAGGCCTGAAAGATTCTGCATGCGCCTACAGACAGATCTGCGGAAAAGATGTATTATCCTGCTCATTCTTTGTCTGAAAACTTGCATTCTTGGTAATTCTGAGGTGACATCCCCAAACCTTATCTCATGATGTACTGGTCAGGTCTTACCTCGGGACCTCTTCTCCAGATATCCTTGCTTCAAAATGTTCCCCGTGTCTTGAACAGGCTTCAGTGCGATTTCCTCCAGTCCTACGGAGAGCAAAGCAAAGCTTTGGGATTTCACCTTCACACAACGCCTCAGCACAATGTTTTCAGCCCCTTTCTCTGCAGAAGAGGCTTGGGCAGGCAGATCAGCAGCTGGAGGTGAAAATCACAGTCTACCATGATCTCACTGGCTATTCCCAGTCCTGGCTGCAGGCTCCCAGAGGTCCTCAAGGAAACCAGGACCATGATTCACATGGCTACGCAGATCCGTCCTCAGTGGGCTGAGGCTGGTGCTGCTCCGGGGGCTGATGCTCAGCCCTTTACCCCCCAGCCAAGGCTCTCCAGGTCCCTGGGAGCCTTTGGCAGCAGGCAGGAGCTGGTCAGGTTTACGGACTTAGAAAACATGATTCCGTTATCCGATGTCTGGTCTAAATCTGACCATGGCACCTTGCCTGGGCTGGTGGCTGGACCCTGTGGCCACGGAGGGGCTCTGGCACTCACTGAGGAGGTGACGGCCACATCTCATCCCCAAAACCATCAGGGCCAGGACGTCCCCAAGCCATGGCTTGCTGCTGAGAAGGTCTCCCCTTCCTCTCCTGCCATCGGAACTTGTAATAAGCACAATAAAAAATGACTAACTAAATGCCACTAATCACCTCCCCAGTGCCCAGCCTTGGCAGCCTTTTCAGTCTGAATAACTTCCCAGAATCCCAGATCACAAGAGCTTCTCTTCTTTTCTTAACGTTTCTTGCTAACACCCAGCTCTTGGCCCAATACATATCCCCCCTCTGACTCGTTCATGGGCTATTTTCATTTTTGTGTTTTATAGTTTGCAAACTCTGGGCTCGCTATAAATCCTCTGCAAATGGGTCTCGGGGTGAGCGGCAGACACAAAGACACGCAAGCTTTGGGTTGGTGGAAGGGCTCCCCTGCGTCTGTCTCCTCGGTTGGCTGGAAACCGGATCCTTCAAAGACAAAATCCTTGGCTTGTGCAAAGCTGCCCAAGACGGGAAGCCTGGGATGCTGTGGGATTGCCCTCTGCAGTGCCTGGAGGACATGGACAGCCCCTTCCCGCACCAAGAAATCTCATTTCTCTCCAGCACCTGCCCGGCACAAAGGTGCTTGGGCTTTTCTCTAGCAACGCCGAGCATCCGACTTCCAAAAGGGCACATTGCCTTCTCAAATCCAAGCCCCGACCCTTTTTGCTAATGCAAATCTAAATGTCATTTTATGGGACATTTATGATTATGAAAATGGGACGGTGCTGCCGGATGCGCAGGGGGACCCTGCGAGTATGAATATTACATTAATGTGCCCAACGCCAGCTCGCCGATCCCGCTGGCAGGAGCATAAAAAATGCTTGAGTGAAACTTTTATTTAGACGTTAAGAATCCAGGCCCCAGCGGGGTGACGGAGGCAGCCCCGGCGAGATCCCATCAGCACGAGCGCTCGAATTGAATTACCCAGGGGGGAAGGCAGGAGCTGCGAGTGCTGCTTCGCTTATTTAATTTCATTTACTTTCAGTACATTATCAGCATGGGGCTTCCCTCTGCCCCCGTTCCCCCAAGAAAACCAGCTGCAGAAATTGCCGGCGTGCAGGATGCTGCTGTCGCTTTCGCCAAGGCAGGGATGTGTCCAGCCATCGCGGTCCTCCTGGGGATGCACTTTCTGCTCTTTCCTCCGGAGAGATCCGGGGGAATGCAAGGACCTTTCAAACACCACCAAGAGGAACCGAAGCGGGGAAGCAGCACGGACATGATGGGAGCCAGCAACAACCTCCTCCAGCCCAGCGTCTTCTCTCGTTGCCCATCATTTCTCGGCGCTTGCTTCTAAGCAGGCAGGACCCCTGGGACAGCTGCTGCCTTCTCAGTTGTGCTTTGCCCTGTTTGAGCTCAATTTTCCATGTAAGCAGATCCCATGTTTCAGGTTATTTGTGGCCCTGGGTCCCAGGATCTGACAGGCTGGCAGCTCCCCATCGCCTCCAAAACACCATCAGGAGCCCAAATCTCTCCCGCTCTGCAAGGGACACTGTGCCTCAGTTTCCCAGCAGGAAAACCAGGGTGAAAGGAGACTTCGTTCTTCTTAAATACTCGGTGGCTGCTCAGATAAACTAATACTATTAAGGAGAGGTTGCGAGGGCTGATTTGATTGCATGGGGCTCTGGAAATTTGAAGTTTTACAGAACATGACATGAAGATGGCAGCTGTAACCTGTGTGTTGCACGCAGCCTCTCTAATGCAGCCCTGCGAACGCAGAGCTGGGAAGATTAAATCTGTGCAAGGTGGGTGAGTGGGGGGATGCGGTGCTCGGGGCTCTGCCTGGCTGTGGACAGGGCTGGGGTTACGTGGGGTGTCCCCGTCCCTCCCTGCATCCCCAGCCTGCCCCTAACAACAAGCCAGATGGCTTTTTGCTAGCAACGAATGGCTAAATTAACCTGAAAAGACAGTCCCTGGGTTTTTTTAATTCTTTAAAGCGTCCTAATGGACCCCCAGAAGATCCAGATGGGCTCGGTGGGAGCCAGCCCCAGGAAGCTCGCTGGTCTCTGAGGGCAGAGGGTTTATTGGCTTCGATGGTCCCGTCAGAGCCCAGACAGCTCTGCCCCAGGGCCACACAGCTGGCAGGTAAACCACAGCTCACCACATCTTCTAGGACTCCAAGTGATGGAAAAGCCAGCCCGTCGCCTGGTCATTTGTTCCAACCGCTAATGGCCATTCACCATTTATACAAACAGAAAGAAAAGGCCTTAAATTCATCTGAGAGACACATCTGTGCTCTCCCAGACACACGGCTCCTCTCCGGTCGCTCCCGGCACGGCGCAGCAGGGCTGAGGCTCTGTCTGGATGGTCTCGGTGGTCACTTCCACCCTGCCATCTCCCCCAGCCCAGCCTTTGCCCAGCAGACGACTGGTACCAGGAGCCCTGCCCAGTGCCACCAGCATCTCAAATCCCATGTAACCCTCTGCAACCTCTCAAGCCTGGCTTCCGACGGAGCTGCTCAGCCCCAAGGGTTTTCCTGAAGATGAATTTCCCGATCCGCGGGACGCATCGCTCCATCTGGAGCCTCCAGCAGAAGGGGTGCACATCGGTGGCACTGGGAATAGCTCTGTGCTGTAATCCTGGAGACCGCTCTGCTGCAGAGGATACAAAACTGCAGAATTTCAGGAGCCTCTTCTGCAGAGGATACAAAACTGCAGAATTTCAGGAGCGAGAGAAAACTGGGGCCAGAGACCCACACTCACGGGCACAGGAGCAGACACCAGCTAATTCCCTTTCCTTCTTTATTGTACATCAACCTTTACTGTGGTGCGCATCCCCCAGGAGCTGCCGAAGGATGCTCTCAGCCTCAACGGCTTCACTCCTGCGTTAGGCTGAACCCAGGTCACCCAAGCCTCCACCTTTGCTGACCAAACGGCACCTTTTGGGCAGAGATTCGAGGAGTTTGGCTGCCGAACGCCATGACCATTCTACCCTGTCCTCGCCATGTCCTCAAGGACCTCTGGATTTCAGCTCTCGCCGCTTCGGTCTCTGAGTCATGCACACCAGCTGCACAAAATGTCACAGTAGCTGCAGCCAAACACGCCCGGGGGCCGTGTCGGTGCCCACGCTGTCACATCAACCGACTGTTCAAAGGGATGAAGCACGGAGGCACGACGGTAACAGCTAATTCCCCGTCCTCCAGCTTATTCACCAGGCTCAGATGTGCCAAGAGCAGATTCTGCTCCCGGGGACGTCGCAGGGAACACCCAGATACATTTCAAACCAGAGCACAACCGGCTGCGATGTCCCAAAGCCCTCTGCGGCGGCTGCGCTCTCTTTTTCCATTGAAGCTAATGAGGAAGAAAACAACCCGAGAGAGACAAACAACCCCTCCCGCCGCCTGCAAAGCGAGACGGACCGGGGAAATGCTGAAAGCCTTTGGAAATCCCACCCGCCACCAAGGTCTGCCACGGCAAACAGGTCCAGGACATGGCTGCCGGGGCTGCCGGCACCACCAGCCACTGCCGAGCAGCTTTTTCTGGTCTGTTCAAACACAAGCTTTGTACAGGCAAAACCAACAAGCTGGCTGTGAGCCATGCTCCTTTCGGTCTCTGACGGGAGAATAATGCTGCCTGTATTTAAACCGTTACCTTTTTCCAAGCTCAAGAGGATCCTGAAAGCTTTCTCACATCGTGATCCACGTGGGCACAGATCCCCCCCCAAAACCTCCTCCCGGGTACCCTTAATCAAAGCCAGATCTACCCCAGGGTCTAGTCACCCGAGGGAGGACGGGAGTGAGCTCAGCCCCTTGGCTCCAGGCTCCTGCTGATGGACACTGGATGTATCTGGCACAGCTGGGCAGGACCTTTCCAGTGCTGTGCAGAGGCTGCAGCCCGGCAAAGCAGCCGGCAACAGGCACGGAGTGATGCCCCGACAAAACGGAGCAGGAGGAGAAAGGCCATGGTGGGATGTGACATCCATCAGCGTAGTCCGCCCGGTCCCTGCCTCCTCGTGCCCCTGCTCCAGGTCCCAGCCCACCTCCTCGGTGGCTCCCAGGCCCTCGGTGTCCCTCGGACACGCTTCCCTCCGCGCCTCGGGAACGTCGCCGAAGCTTTCAGCGCCTTGGAAATGGCTGGGGATCATTTATAACGACGGGAACAAAATGAGCAACTATTTCAAAGAGAATGGGGAACTAAACAATTGTCAACATGGATCACATGAAATAGATCTTGTGCCAGACTAATTTTATTGCATTTTTTTGAGCAGGAAAATAAGAAAGTAGATGAGGAAAAGGCAAGGCACGGCAGAGAAGATTTATTCGGGCTTGGGCTTGGCTTTTCAGAAGAGGCTAGTAAGCAAAATTCAGAGTGTAGGCACCCACCCCAGGATAACTACCTAGATTGAAAGCTGGTCAGCAAGCAGGAGGCAGTTAAAAATCAATGCCAACAAATCATTGAGGGGAAATTATCAACTGAAATATCCCTGTGTTCAGCTTCAGGATCAGCTGTCCTCAGGCTCAGGAGCCCGCGGCTGCTACAAGGCATCCCAGCCCAAAGAGCCATGCAAAAA